TTCAATGAACTCGGTGGGTGGGACTGTCGATACCCATCATTTCTTTAGGACCAGCGCAACTATTGTCCTAGGCTGTTGCGGTATGGTGAAGTCTTTCTAGGGACTTTTTGCCACATCATTCCAACACGTTGCAAATAGTAAACACCTGCCTGTCAAGAAACTTGTTGCAACAGACTAATCTGTTCGAGTTGTTCCTTCGCTTTTGAGTAGGAGATTGTCGATGATCTCAACTGAGCTATGGTCCAGCTGCTTGTGCGCTTCAATAGAAATATCGATCCTTGGGGAGCAGCTTCTGGCCACTTAGTGCTACTCAACATTTGCTCCTAGAAAACTAGTTTCTTGTTATAAGCAGTAACACAGTTGTAGCTCATAGAGCTTTTGACTCGATGCCCACTTTCTGAAGTATGGCGTAAGCATTTGTGTGTGGTGGACTGTGATCCAATCTCTCCTGTCCTGAAATCCCATTTTGTTATTTTTAGGCTATCGTTCCACTGTCTCAACCTTTAGGCCGGTGTTGTGCTGGCGGGTTCCATGGGATCGCCCAGTATGATAAGGAACTCTTAGTGTCGTAAATATGGCGGTGCGATTTTTGAATCACATTTGGTGTTGTCAGCACAAAATTGCCCCTTTTCCTCTGGATTACACTGTTGTCACTATATCCTATCTAACCTTTTCTGACCACGGCACCTGCACCTCTAGTCATGTTATGTGTTCGCTTGCTTCTTCTGTCTAAATAGAGAAACGCTACCGGGAGTTACCTCGGGGATGTTGTTCAGTTGCGGTCTGCCTTCGTGAATATTACGCTCAGTTGTCGATGCTTGTTGTTTAAGCGGATTGCCTTGGTTAAGCAACCATGTTGGGGGCAAGTTGGTTTTAGTAACGTAACTTTTGGGTTTCATTGTTTTACACGGAATTTGTCGCATCATCATCAACAGCAGTACATCAATCATTTGAACTGATGCTTCGCTGCCATACAACCATGCGACCTATGAAATAAAGAATAAGAAGAGGGAGAGAAGAGGGACTTACCTGAAAACCTTAATGCCCTAACCAAACATTCAGGATCAAGGCATCTACACCTTGTGTAAACAACATACTGTCACAAACAGCTGGCTATCGTGCAAAGATAAGGCGGCATCGACGAGACAGCTTCCTTGCGGCTTTCACTACCACGTGTCATAATCAACCATTACCCCGCAGATAACTCAGCACCAAACACACTTTAAACAGACAATCCGATTAGGAGACGGCAGCAGACGCTCCACTGGTGTCTACTGCGAGTCATGTCCTGTAAAGTCTCGAGCCAAGCACAAGGCGAGTCACGTGAACTCCAGCCCGGAAGGCGAGAAGGACCAACGGGACCCAGTTTGGTCATCAGTGTCTTCATTTCCCGTTGCCAAGTCAACTTCTGTCCACCCCGAGCCTTGCGCCACCCTACACCTGGCAGACTAAACAAGGCCCTCCTAGGTAATCGGTGACCAGGCATACGTAGCACGTGCCTGAGCCAACTCAACTTATTCAGTGCTATATGTTGTTCTAGGGAGCTAGCATGATTATCATTACCTAGTACTCGCCTACGCACATCATCGTTGCGGGCATGCTGCTGCCATCCGACTCCAGCCATGCTTCGCAGACAACGATGATCAAAGACTTGAAGGCGCTTTAGATCTTCAAACCGAAGGGGCCAAATGTCACTGCCATAGAGCAGAACGGCCCTCACTGTGGCCTTGTATACACGGCCTTTCAGACGGAGGGAAACTCCCTTCTGTCGCCAAAGATGCCGCAGGTTCAAGAGTGCAGCTCTGGCCTTTACAATACTTGAGCTGACGTCCATTTCTATGCTTCCATGGTTGCTGACGCAGCTGCCAAGATAAATGAATTGATCAACCACCTCGAGTTCCTCGTTAGCAAGCGTCAAGGGGTCCTAAAGTAGCTGGTGGTCCTGCACCAACTCTTTGCACTTTGAAGGTTCGAAGTGCAAACCAAATAATGGGACCACTCTGGACAGGCTATTCAGTGTTGATTGTGCCACCGCAACATCGTCGAAAAGCAAGAGGATATCGTGCAGATAATCAAGATCAACTACTCTTTCACCAGGCAGCACTTCAACGCCTACATCGTGAGTTTTCGCAAGGAAATACTCCTTGATAAAATCCACGACGAAATTGAACAGAAATGAAGGAATCGGACAACCCTGACGAACGCCACTTGTAGTCGGAAAGCTATCCGATAGGACACCGTAGACCCTGACGCGGCCTGTAGTGTTCGAGTATAGAGCACGAAGGATGTACACATATTTCGTGAGAACACCTTTCCGCGCAAGTATTTCGAACAGAATCGATCGAACGCACTCTTGAAATCGAGGAACAGAGCTATTGTCGGTCTGCAGTATACGTGGCGCTGTTTTAGCACCTGCCGCAAAGTGAATATATGGTCTATACAGCCACGTCCTGGGCGAAAACCGGCCTGCTCTTCCCTAATCCGAGATTCCCGTTCCTCAGTGAGGCGACGAACGAGAATCGAGGCCGATAATTTTGTCACAACTGGCTTTAGCCTAATACCCCTGTGGTTAGAACGGTTTGTGCGACAGCAGTTCTTGTATGTTGCCACTATAGTCGATTCATTCCAATTAGCCGTTACACTTCCTTCCAGATACGTTCGAATAGGGAGGTGAGTGCTTTGCAGAGGACCTATCCTCCATCCTTAAATAGTGCAGTTGGGAGAGAATCCGGGCCAGCGACGCGAAAGTGATTGAGGGCTGTGATCGCGTTTCGGACCTCGGCCTCCGACGGAGGCTCTAAACTAACCATCCATGGCTCGTCCTGCATCACCTGAGTAGGAAGAGGTCCGGGAGCAGGAGGCCAGCTGAATTGATCTTGAAAGTGTTCCGCCCAACGATCCATACGGCGCTCCTTATTGTGTATCAGTGCACCCGCGCTGTCTCTGATTGTCTCAGTGACGCCTGGTTTTCAGGGACCACTGGTGCGGATTGGTTGGAATAGCTTGCGGCAGTTGCCTACTGCTCCTGCCTCCTCCATTTCTTGAGCCCTACTGGTCCACCAGGCTTCCTTGTCAGCACGTAAGCTCTGCTTTAGTTCACGCCTAATAGCCCGTCTGGTCACATTGTGTTCAGAGCCAGCCGCGAGGTTTCTTCTGGGGTCCAACAGGTTCACCGACCTCTCGGATATCCAGTAGCTGGTGCGGTGACGATGGGTAGTGCCACAAGCAAGATGCTCCTGCGTCGTACATGATGGCTGAGATCCTATTTCACTGAAGCTCAGTGTCATTAGGACAAGACAGCGAAATTTCGGTATGCAGTGCGTCTTGATAGGCTTGCCTGACCGAAGGCTTAGAGAATTTCTCAGTTGCCAATAGGAGGAGACGCTTGGTGCGCCTCCCGGTAAAGTTCAAGGAGAAACGACACCGTACCAAGGCATGATCAGAGTCGACACAGTTACTCCAGTACGAGCGGCAATCCAGGATGGAACCACGCCATCTGTAACTTATGGCAGTGGCCAATTTTGGGTCCATCGCTGGCCAGCTACAGGAGGACGCCAAGTAGCACTTCGGCGCCCACTGTGTCTAAAAGCAGTGCTACTAAGCAACAACTGGTGCTCCGCACACAATTGCAGCAGTCGCTCACTGTTGTCAGTCCGTTCGGAGTTAAGCCCATAATTACCACCCAGCTGAGTTTCTGAAGAGTTCTGACGTCCTACTTGTGCGTTCATATCCCCTGCAAGTACTATGATATCGGAACTAGTAGCACTGGATAGTAGCGCGTTCACTCCCTGATAGAATGTGTTCTTGACAGCATTAGAACTGCATTCGGTGGGAGCATAAGCGGAAATCACAAACATACAGCGGTTTGTACTACTTCGTGAATCCACTTTTGCTGATATCGGCAAACGGGCTCCAAATAAACGGCTTTTCACCGGAATCCAATCAATCAACGATGGCTCAGCCTTAGAGCGTAGAATGATACCTACACCAGCTTGACCCGTGAGTTTGTCGCAACTTTGGGCCCGATCAGATAGTTTGGTGACCTTTTTAGGACATTGCACTTCTGACTCCCTTCTCTGCGCGTTCCTCCGGTTGGGATTTCAGCTCCGAATCACACTCATATGTCTGCAAAACCGTAGTTAACGCAGTTGCATTGCGACCAACGCCGGCAGCTGAGATGACTATGCAGCTAATTATGCCATGGCGCAACCTATTCTCCCTTGCTATGCACGTTACAGCCATGCAGGGGACCAGACTAGTACTCAGATAGACGACTCCCCGCACTTAGTCGCTTAGCTAATTGTCGAAAAACCAATCCTTCAAGGACAAGTAGTTTATTCAACAAACACAACCCAGTGAAAACGGGGGCACATTTACTAGTAAAACGTCTTGATACATGTTGTTCGCTCTCCCCCATGAACAACCCCGTCTTCTGTCTATGGCTTTTTTCCTTTGACTCAGTTAACCAGACCACGAGGAACTCAATGTAACGCACCTGGATGTCAAAATATCAGCGAATCTGCTTAGACGGGTCTGCATGCATGTCGCGTTCAATGACCGAATCCGTTGTATTTCCCTCTCCTTGGCTGTTTGGTTGCTTCTTGGGATCTATATGTTCATTCTGGTTTGGCACTTCCATCGCACTGAGTATGTTTGGGAGATTTTTCTTCTTCTTACCGCGATGTGTTCTCTTCGTGACTTTGAATCCTTCTGCCGAATGCTTCGAACTTCCTATCGGTCCCTGATTCGAAGCTGCGTTGGCGTGCAAACTCACAGTATCCCTGGACCACATGTGACTACTGGTGGTCGCATGGCAGCGAATCTTCGACACAAGGCATCAACGTTCTGTTACTCTTTTAGACCCACACTGTGTTTATAAAACCAGTGCACACACCATTAGTTGTGATGCCGTTTCGTTTTGTTTCTGGGTACCTCTCGCCGTTATGTTGATTCATAGCCCTTCGTTTTTGACTTTCTCATTGTTTCTACCAATGATTTCAGCTTTTTCACATGTCAGAAGTGAATTTTGTCAGCACGTTGTGGTCCACGTTGGTGCACGACGAGCTAGAACGAGTCAAAAGCGTCCCCGAACTTGCAGCCACTTTACTGCGCAAACACCCTGACACATGCGATCACTCCGAGTCCATATCGAAGCTGGTGCAAGATGCACGCTCTACATACGCGTCTGCTGCATACTATCGGGCTGTGGTGCGCTATGTCGATAGTGCACAGGCAAGTGATGCTCTCAAACGCATACACAACTTTGTCGACGATTTAGCATCAGGTCAAATTAGTATGAAAAGTTCCAAGCGAGCCAAACAGTTTCGGGAGCTTGGGAATCGTCTTTTCAAGTAAGGTAACTGAAATTCCATCCTGTCTATTCGTGTAGGCCTATCAATAAATCTTTAATTACTTATGTAGTTAATTTCAGTGCCCTTTCTTTTGTGTGACATCATGTTTCATTTCAAGTATATTTCTACACTTGTTTATACGTGGTGTACCTTGCGTTAGGATTCATGCCAATTTACATGCATGAAGATTAGCTACGCGGATACCTAATGCGTCTAGCCCATACTTCTCACACTTCATACGAAGCTACTGTTAACTTTTACTATCGTGCAGGATGACAACGATAATATCAGCTGTCGCGCTTCGCTTTTTTACTTCTGTCAGCTTCTGATACCAGAGCTCATAATGTCTCTACTTTCAAAAATCCAAACTAATTACGATAACAGTCATAGTTATAACAATTGTATTGGTAGTTGGAGTTCAGGAGTTGAATAAAAGACGTTCATCAGCTGGAGTGGTTGTGAATCAGAATTGAGTGATTGGGTGGATGGACGAAAGCTTCGTGACATCACAACTGTACTATGTGGGGTAAGGTTTAGTTACGTTGATGTATCCAATCCCGAATCGATCCTCTATAGAGATACAACCCAACCCGGTGGTTTTTTGGTCCAAAGCTTCTTCCCTACCATCTATAGATCACCGGTTCTAATTCGCATTACTGTTGACGGCCTCACAGTCTCCCTAGCCTGCTATCCCCTGATGATGCCCGCTTGGCATCGAGCCGTCGGTATGAAATCTTGCGTACTGCTGAAACCTAAACAGACTTGGTCATTAGATTGGTTTCTACAGCATTTTATAGACATGACTTCAACTGACTATTCTCCACTTCCCCCATCTAGTTGCAGTATTAGTGGGTAACGTACTCAGAAATAGCTAGCAACGGTGTTGTGCAGAATCTGAACTAGCAAGCGTAGGTGAATGGAGTTCGGCTGCCATTGCTGTGAGGCATCATTTTCCTGTCACTAAACGCTGATTGCTGCTGTATTCCCATATAACCCATTTGGTACTTCGCAGGGCTCGGTGTTTGGACACCGCCAACCTTTTACTAACCTCAGCGCTCAGAAGACATGCTTTTCATACATTCAACAACACTAGCTATACGGCGATCAATATCGTCACGTCCAATCATCTCAATGGATGACTGAGACACAGAATAGCCAATTTCGCCTTATCAGCGCGTTTGGCGACCGCTCAGGTGGTTCTGTCGCCAGAGATGAAACAACTACCTGGATAAGTAAGCCTATCGGCTACACTGCGGGTCTGCTCGGGACTTTCAAGAATCAGTGGATTTAATTTCACTTTAATTCAATTCCAGAAAAGGTTTTATACGCCCAAAAGGTGAATATTCATTATTGTATAAAGAATAAAACTTAAAACATGTAGGTTACTAAGTGGTATGTACAGTAATATGGTTACATAACAAACTTGCTGTTAAACTCCAGGACAGCTGAGCTCTGGTCACACGAGAAACACGCTAAACAGCAATTACGAATGAGTGCTAAACACTTGTGCGAACATATATGGCTCTTTACTTTAGTCCAGATAAGGAAGACAATATACAGTCAAACAGTGCGCCATGAAGAAGGTGACCTACGTTGTTGAGTGTTTTTCAAACAAGCCTTTAGCATGAACTGCAATGGGTAGGCGCAAGAATATCAATGAAGGTCTGCTTTAAAATGTCCATCTCAAGACAGTTACATCATTGATCTATCTAGGGTTTTGAAATGCTTTCTTAAGTAACCAGGAATTGTCACAGGGGAGCAATACGTCCAGTGGGGTAAGACACAAGCGGGGATGTATCGCAATGTTGAGTAGCATGAGAACAGAATAGAATGGCAAGCGTGCAGCGTAGAGAGAATGCCTCCTTACTTTGGTGTAAAATTCATTCACATGGAGTGACCAACTAAGATCACGACTGAATGTCACACCTAGATACTTCACTGACACAGTGCACTGCATCCTCTCGCCATCTATTTGAAGGGAACGAAGAACGTCCTTGTATTTTAATGCATTCAGCGACAAAAGTGAGCACTGGACTACAATGCAAAATTGTCCAGATAGGCTTCTAATATGGTTGTTGGGGCTGCGATCGAATGTTGGATACCCAAAATCACGTCTGCATATTTCAGCAATATCAAGAACAGGTAATGAGGCGGCTCTAGTGGAAAAGAAATGCGGATACAGTATGGCTCCTTGAAGAACTCCGTTGTCTGTGGTGAGCGGCGAGGCACTTTTACTCCCAAGTCGGATAAACTGGGCACATTTGGTGAGAGAGTTCCCCAGCAGGTGGACAGCAAAAAGTTCAATTCCGGCATCATATAGGTCCCGTAAAATAAACTTACGATTTACACTGCTGAAAGCAGTACTGTAAGCGAGCAAACATATTCGCGCGGATTTAATCTCGTTGTCTAGTAACGCCAGCACTGAAACTGCAAGATAGGCTAATGCGTCTTGAATATACCTCGAACTACGATAAGCAAACTGGATCGGATCATCAGAATGAGTCTGAGTCAGCATCTTTTCAAGAATAATCTCGAAGACCCTCAAGTTTACCGAAGTGCAGGCAATTTTGGCCCGTATTTATCTTAACTTTTCTTTGGTACTGGTGTAATTCTAGAACTTCTCCAACAGTCGACAATTTTGCATTCCTATATGCACGTGTACAGGTCAGCAAGAGGCTGGGCCAAGGAATCCGCACACCCCTTGAGGACAAGGGGAGATAATCCGTCCGGGCCGTTTGCTGATTGAGTACTGTATTCCTACCAGCGGCAGATAAAGAGTTTGTGGGACTATCCACTCAGGGAGAAGAAGGGTAAGAAGTGTAGTTAACACTGAAACAACAAAATTTTCGGTTCAAATCTTCCAAGTATACATATGGATGTGACACTCCGTGAGAGACACCACTAAATTGTTTCAGCATCCTCCAGACCTCTCGATAGCTATTATTTCCAAGAGTTATCAGGACGCATAGATGCTTTAGACGGCACAACTCTGGCTTAGTAGCAATCGGAAGCGACTTCACTGCAAGGTGGTATTGCTGTAGGAACGCTTTGTCTTTGAGTCTACACAAGCGTTTTAGACGCAGAGATGAAAACCAAGCTGCGCGGATATAAATCGTTTCCAGTGAATGACGGGTATCAAAATAGGAATTGAGATATCTCCTTAACTGGTCACAGTACGTAGCTAAATCACTGTCAAAAAAACTTACTGAAGTCTGTGGATGCACTCACTTCTGCTGATCGATACATGTTCCGAGGTGAACATTATCTTCTTTTAAACTTTACAGCGATTTAGTTCTATGTGTTTTATTTTGTTGTAGACAATAGGAGATAATTTGTCCTTTTAGTGATCAGAGCTGCCAATCGATTTCTAATTGCACGCAAAAATAGCTTCGCATTGTTAACAGTATGTGACCTAGGGTTTCTTCAAGTGTGATGGGGGAATTTACGACATTTTGCAGCCCGAGGTCAAACGGAAAAAGTGGTGTCAACTCTGTTGAAATCACCAGCGAACATGCGGAGACAGTAATTAAGGTGATCGATGATAGTTGAACTGATCGTAAAATTTCTCTGCTTCATACCTGGGACAACGGGGGAAAATATAGATATTTGCCAGTAAAATCGATTGGTAGCCGCCTAAACATCCTGCTTTACATTTCAAAATTAAGCAGTGGATGTTGCTGTGTTCTCACGCAGCAAATGTCTGGTCTGGCAGTGTTCTTAAGACCACGTGATCGGCTGCTCACTGTCAGAGAATGCATAATAACACCCAGTATTGTTTTTCATGGGACTTTCTTTCGTTAAACTTTTCACATTTCCCGTCTTATCATATTTGAAACGTTTTTTATGTCCGCTGCCCTGTACTTCGTCGTGCGAGTACACTAATCTTAGAACTATTCAGTTAAAGCAATCACTTACGGATTGAACTGATATTGACTGATTGCTTCATTGAATTTACGGTTGTCACGCACATACTCCGTTTGCTTGTCAGACCCATCACTTCTACCTGCACCTACCGGTGTGCTTTTTTATGCACTATTTTAAACAGGCGGGCTATAGTACATCTAATTTGTAACTTTTCACGCTTTTAGCGCTTAACTGTACGATGACCAGACTGAACTGTCCACACTTTGCTCCTTCTCCTAGACTTGGCTGTCTACCATCTGCTGCTCGGGCCTATCAGAGCGGTCTTTTATACGCACCGAATGCCTTTCCTTCAAGAGCTCAGGACGAACGTCTTGATGAGGAGTCCATGGAAGCGTGTTTGTTGCATGGCAATTTATCTGCTGTCTTACTGAAACAAAGCATGCACATACCGTGTTTGTGGCAGTCTTTGATGGCTCTTCAGCTGCACCTTTCCCGAGGACAACCAACACCACCAAGTATGGTTACTCGATTATGGTCTCGTGTGCAGCGTTGTAGCGCCGCTATCACACATGCGCCTTTTTCTATTGTCGGACAGTGCGAAGCGCCAACTTTGAGTTTCGTTAATGAACTGCAACAAGCGATGATATCTGGGGATTTCGAGTGTTCTGACCACCATCTGTCCTTCAATTGTGAATTACCGGAAGCCAAATACGGCTTTCATTCTTCCGTAGGTGACCGTTTTATCTTTTTTGACTTTCTGTCACTTTTCCGTTAATCTTCGTAGTCTATATCGCAGTTGCATTTTACTCCATGATGGTCAGTCATCGTCCTCCGTGGCTCAGTGGCATAAGCTGCTGGCTAGCGGTGCAAGCCACTAGCGGTCATCGGTTCGATCCCCAGTAGGGGACCGAGGAAATGTGCACCGCTGACGCATTCCAGTAGGGCGAAACGACCATCTGATGCTTTTCCGGATTGGTACCTCACCTTTGCGGCTTTTAATCTAACCGCGATGAATCAACTAAAAACCTTGATTAGTTGACTTGTCACAGTGATTTGTTGCGTCAACATCCTCCCGACTCTCTTCCGTCTCCTGTTGCAATTGATCGAGGCGAAATGCGACTGCGCTACTGAATTCCGATTGTACACCCCATCACGTGTACCCATGGAAACAATGATTTACCTGGGGTGAAATGGCCAAGGTTTCACATTTTCTATGTATTGGAAGAGTGTATAACTCAGAAAACAAAGTAACGTCAACGTGATATAGCAAATGTTGGTAGACTCGCCAGGAAGTAAACCAGAGCACGCCGATTGTTATGTTTCCACGTGATCAGAAAGTGGTACAGCGCTATCAAAAGGCTTGTATCACTTTAAAAAACAGTTTGATGGCTTTATCTTCTGAATACGAACAGAAGTGCTTACAACCTGTATATTATTTTACTCATAAGCTATTATCATCGGCTTAAAATTGTTTTGCCCACAACACATTGGATGAAATAACCTCTATGGTGTAGTCTGTGTTGAATGCTCTGTGTCAAATTGGAATGGACCCTTACTATATAAATAATAAAATTTTCCTCGTATAGAGATGAACAATTTCTGACCAATAACAGAACAGCATGTATAACTGTAGATTTGTAGTTTTAGTGCAAACTCATAACACTTGTTTGTCAAATAGAGTAAGGTTTCTTTATGCGATCCTTTAAGTATCTGGACAGAGATGTACGCGAGATAAAGCATTAGTGCTTCATGAAAAAGGCTACTTCAGCAGGGAACTCGCGACAAAAGTTAAATGCAATCAAAGCACAGTTATCAAACTTATTAAAACGCAAACTGAGACTGGAATCACGGGTGACAGGCACCGATCTGATCAACCCAAGACGTCAACAGACCTTGATACCAGGGGACATCCTTGATTGACAGAAGCTTACAACTCAGCTGCAGATGCAATGCAGGGGGAAGTGTTCTATGGATGTGTGCGCTTCGATAATGAGACAGTGTTTAGAGTTCGGTCTGAGAGGCTGCAGAACACGGAAGAAGCCACTGTTTTCTGATACACAACGGGAACGAAAACTGCTTTTGGTCAGAAAGTATTCATCTTGAATCAAGAATGGTTGGGAGAGTTTTATTTAGCGATGATAGTCACTGCGTTCTTTGGAATCATCCCAGCAATTTACAGGTGAAGAATACAAACCACTATGTCTCAACCTCCATCACGCTTTCAACAGTAATCATGATTTGGGCTCTCATGGCCGCCAGTGAAATTGAATGGTTCCGTATCGTTGTTGGTATGGAAGCAGAGGAGGGGAGGCCAAGCGACAACATTGTCAAAAGGAATGAAGGCCCTTAGTTCGAAGTTGGCCTCGGTTAGAGCCTCTCGACTCCCTGATCAGGGTCCGAAAGACAATGAACACCTTTGGTTAGTCACATTAGTTGACATTGCAATGAGCCGATATCAATGGCGTTTGTGTTGTGAGTTTCTTTGCACCTCCCAATCCCACTTATCTTCCCCCTCCAGGCACGATCTCTCTCGACGCATAATATGTTACCAAATGGTGTTGTCACTTTTTGCATTCATAATGCTTTGTATCTTGCTTTTTCGTATGTGTTATCTTTTCCTATTGCGGCGCGCTAGTTGAAGTGTCTTTCTCCTCTTCCGCTGTGTAATGATGATGATGATGATGGTCAACACATTCAAGTACGTAGAGGTCATCAGAAGCTGCATGTTACCATCAGCTCAGAAGCTATTCAAGAAACAACATTTATTGCACAATGGCAATGCACCAGGCCAGTCGCAGAATAGATGAAAAAGTTGGAGTAAAGACTCACGAATTGCCAGCTCACTCCCCAGATTTAAATCTAGCTGAAATCCAGCTTTGTGGTGCAGGATATCACTAGAAATATCAACAAAACAGCCAAAGATTATAAGGGAACTTATTGGTACCTGGACCCGTGTCATCATTTGCGGATATCTCCAAAAGCTGGTATACTCAATGCCTGTGAGATACAAATCAGTTGTGAGAAACGAAGATAGGCCACTCAAGTGTTAACACTTGAATTTCTGCACACAGCCCTTTTCTGGGTCAATGCACCAAAAAAGATTTATTTGCTAAAAATTTACCAGCGGTACGTGTTAAGCAACACCACAGCTAGGACGTAGTTTTCGGGTCATATCGTTCAGTAGGGGTTTAATAAGTAAACAGTATAAATAACAGTTGAGGTGTCGCAATCTAAGTGCAACAATATTGCGAAAACAACTGCGAAAGAAATTTTGCATTTTATCTTGCATATCTATAAGGCGGCGGTGGTAAATCAGGAGAAAGTATTTTTTCAAGGTGATGCAGGACTTCTTCACAGTGCTGTATGTTACACAATGTAAAGGGTGGGTGTGGCTATTCGTGTCGACGCAAGTTCTTTCGCCCACACCACCACTACACATTCGGGCTATAGCGGGCTGCTTTCTTTACTTGGTAACCCTCTGAGAATTGGGTCCGCACACAAACAACATCTGACCAGGTTACTTGCGAATGAGCTATCAGCTACCGGGGATTCAGCGCGAAGTACACGAAACCCCTCGCATTGTGCCGCGAACTCGCCTTTGCATTGCTACTATGTGCGCCCGTGGAGGGTTGGGTATCCCCAGACCATCGTGGTTCCCGGTCTCATTACCTTGGATTTACACGAAATATCATGTGTGTGCTGCAACTGTCTTCTACCAGAGTGACAAAAAATTCCGTAAACGGATGTCTCCAAGTGAAAATCAGTACTTTTATGGTCAACTGTTGGCTTTTTCGCCACATGTCTTTTCACACACCTTGATTCATGCGTTCTTCGCTTGTTGCCGTCGTGATGGGCAACGGGATTTGAGAAACTGCGGTCTTTTTATGACCTACTATTGGGCTGCTCTTGGACCGAGTTTTTTCTATCCACTACCTTGGAGTTAAAATGACCCTCACTAGATTGTTCTCGGTTAATACATGGAACCATCCAGTTGTCCGATGGGTGTGTTTCTTCACACAGGGATATATTTCTATTCTCTGTTTCACCGCGATAACACTTCTTTTCATCCCTGTTGCTCCCAAGTTTCATCCATCACTACCTCCATTTGGCCATATTCTGGCATCTTACCAATGTTTCTTAGACGTCTCCTCCCACCTGAGCAACAGCTGTCATTTGCTGTGGCTCAAGTATCAACTATGAATAAACTCGTATCACGATTTCGATCTCAGGACGGGCAACTGTGAGACAATCCACCGGATGCTACTGTTTGATCACTACTCGTATTTTCATCAACATCTTTCTTCACGCGTTTATGCACAGTGAAGCATGTACACTAACGCAAAGTTGGGAGACCACAAAACGCCTGTGTTCACACACAGCCGTCTCTCAGTGATTGACGCCTCATTAGCGGCGTACACACGTCACTGTGTATGGCAGTTGACACTACGCCCTATGTGTTGCTCTTTCCAACCATCCTCTAACTTCAAACCACACGCTTCAAACGAGTCATGAGGAAACATTCTGGTAAATTGAGAAACACCGTACCGGCTACCAGGTCAGTCTTAGACATTGTTTAGTTGACAAGACAACTTCCACTGATCTTATCCAGCAATGTTCCATCACTTCTTGAGAAAATGGTGGGTCTTACTGTTCTTATACAGAAAAATGCATATTCAAATGCAACCATCTTGATGCTTCAAGACAGTTGGTTACATCATGTAGAAGACAGTTATTTTACTTGTTGGTTATCTTTCCACCAGATCCGACCGCCCTGGACTGCCTCAAAATCGTGGAGGGTTGTCATCACCTACGTTCTTTAACGTTGGAGTTACTCCTCATCCGATTTTTACCTACTCAGCAGTCGCAATCAGCTGCCAATTGCTTGAATGTAAGCCGTAGTTTTTGAGTGGGAATGTATACACATCCCCCGACACACTAGCACCATAGTCGAAGATTTTTGCAGATGACCTTTCCTCGGCGTTACTGCCGGAATTTGACCGCTCAGTCTGTGTCATCGCTGGGCACTTCAATAAAAGTGACATCTCATTCATCCAGGCACTTGGTTTGACTAATGTAGTGGCCTTTCTGACCAGACTAGAAGCGCAACTAGATTTCGTCTTTACAAACCATGCTTGAATGTTTTCTGCCCACAAACGTGCCCCACCCGGTAACTTTGATCGTTGTATCATAAAAATGTGCCCCGTCATTTATGGTTGGACTCACTCCGATTCACTGGTTAGTAAACTTTTCAAAACCTGGAGGAGTTGAGATTGTTTAGCATCATATAGTGCGAGGCTACAGGAAACTTTGACTTCCACTGATTTAACCATTTTCAACAACGTTGATCTGTCTGTTCAGTGTGATCATTCTACTATCTTAACTTTCGCTTCGATCTGTGCTGCCCGATCGAAACTGTACAATTACGGGTGGTTAGATTTTTCTCACTGTCATTCAAACAACTTAGGAGGAAGAAAGAGCAGACTTACAAACCTAAAATGACTGCCAGTGTCGAACAACTCTTTAGCAATAAAAATCCAGATTTCACAACTAAATAATTTATACATCGAAGTCGTTTAATGCAACGATAACTGCCGAGACCTGTGGTGACTCAGAGCAGCTTTGTGGTGAAAGCTTCAGTAAGCAGCTTAGCTTTGTGGATGTACAGAAAGTTATATCTTCTATTCGTCCCGACAGGAACCGTCCTTCGCTTCATTGTATTTGCCCTCG